TGCACATGCATAATTGCACATTGACTGTTGCACATGCTGCTCCCATGCAGCATACATTCTCTATTATATTCTTATATATTTTTATTATATTGCTGCATTTGCTGCTTAAAGTGCCTTAGATTTTGTGTTACTTATTTATCTACTTTGTATTTCACTTGTATTTTGTGGCATTCATGTGGACGGCAAAGTAAGAATGTCATTGTACAGGGAAACACGTTTCCTAACTGTGCATATGACAAATAAACACTTTGACCTTTGACCTTCCTCCCTGGCACCTCCAACCAGTGCTGGTTAGGAGAAACTTGACATATGACACCCTCTGTCTTCTGAAAAGGAAAAAGACCCCCAGAAAAGTTTGACAGGAAAACCCAATGGCAGAAATCTCAGCAAGACCAGCAAAGGAGGGACAGGAAGTAGATGTCATGTGTGTTCACAGTAAATCAGCATAGATTTACAGTGTGGACAGTCACTGACAAGAACTGGCAGTACAGTCTGTATGTAAACAGGCCGGGGACAGAGCAGCTGAGTCCTGGATCAAGTGCGTCTCCTCTGAATGGTTAACAGACTTGCTCAGAGGTCAGAGGTCAAACTCGACAATGACACCTTAGCTTCACATTAACCTGAACTCTTTTCATCTCCTGTCACTGACTGCACATCAGCTTCTACTCCACACTTCTTCTTCTTCTAGTTACATCATCACAGACACAAAACTGTTTTCTTAACAAAGGATCCATCCATCCATTATCTTTACCACTTATCTTGAAGAGGCTTGTGGGGGGGCTGGAGTCAATCCCAGCTGACACTGGGCGAGAGGCGGGGTCCATCTCAGACAGGTTGTACAGGGCTGACATGCAGACAAACAACCACACTTACTCACACTTCAGTCACCAGTCACAGTCTTTGGACTGTGAGAGGCAGCTGGAGCACCCAGAGAGAACCCACGCCGCACAGGGAGAACATGCAGACTCTACACAAAAAGGCCTTGGGCTGGCCAGGGCTCGAATGTGGAACCTTCTTGCTGGGCAGCAATGCTAACCACTGCTCCACCATGCCAACCGGTTTCTGTTTGTTTTTATGAAAATGAACCTGCAGAGACAGGTTTAATGAGAGTTCATGGACTAACGCAAGCAATAGCTAAAGCCAGTCAGTAAAGTTTCATTGAGGGTGTGTGGACTTACCCATAATGCCTCTCTCTGTGTGTCTCTGTACTGGTAAAGTTAATCCAGAGTCAAACTCCTTCAGAGAACAGACAAAAAGCTTCTAATTCTCTGTTTCTAACCCTGAAAGTCGGTGCAACACACCTCTCTGAGGACTGTAGCCCCGCCCGACATCTCTACACACTGAACCCCCCCCTCCCCCAAAAACCTCATCAAGGCCATTTTCAGTCCCTCATGAAATCTCACAAAGGACCTCTGCACATCAAGGACCACTCTGAAGTCCCCTAAGGCCTCCTTAAGAAGCTGGTCTGTCACAAGGACACCAAGAACCTCTTCAATGATTCATAAAACATTTCATGAAAACACTCCTGTACCCCCCACACAATCTCCTTGAATCTGCTTAAGCATTCCTGGAACCTCTTCAAGAAGGTACATTATCAAGGACTCCTGGAATGATGCTTGTGTTTGTTTGGGCATTTTAGTGAAGGGAAATGTTTTCCTGTGGGCACACAAACAGTTGCCCAGAAAACCTGCACACAGTGAGAGTATCAATGTGATCAGATCCACAGGGAGCAGCCGCTGCCTCCTGTGCTCAGCAAACATTTTACTGACCGCCCAGAAAGACAGAAAAAAATGCTCCTGTCCCTGAACTTGTCTTCTGTGCAGCTCTGCAACAAGACATGTGTTGTACTTCAGACTCTTCTCAAAGAATGAAGCAAAGTATCCCCTAGAGTTTAAGCTAGTAAGAGTCAACATGCAGGTATCGGTGATCTGTGTACCCCACAGCTACACATCCAATCAGAGGCTTAGCTGTTCCCCAGACATCCTGTTTCCATCAGCTGACAACACTGCGACCCGTCAGGGTGTCGCAAACATCAGTGTTAACACTCTGGTCTGACCAAAGAAGTCGGGATGCAAACTTCTCCTGCAGAACGGCCTGTGTCCCAGTAACGTCTCTGATACTGGATCATAGTGACTAATTACTGTGTCCATCACTTTAATGCTGCAGCTGGTAAAGGTGGAGCTGATGGTAACTACCTTATATACTTATACTGGGAAGTACTTTACATCCTGCTGGGTAGCTGGTGGATTTCCTACTGGGATCAATAGAGTCTGATGGTTCTACTGGGTTTGGTTTGATTCATCTGGTTCTGGACCTGAAGGTATCAAGTACATGTAGTGTAGTAAAAAGTACATTGTCTCTGACATGGAGTGAAGTCACAGGATGAAGGAGCAGGACATGGAAGTACTCAGGTACAGATACCTTAACTGTACTGAAGTACAGTACCTGAGTAAATGTACCAGTCGCCTCAGCCTCATTCATGAACAATCTGTGTGACCTCTGTTGCCCCCTACACTCACTCATTAAACTGACCGGCATATTGGCTCCATGTGGCAGGGTGTGATCACTAATTCCATCCATCCATCCATCTTCCTCTGCTTATCTGGAACCGGGTCGCGGGGGCAGCAGTCTAAGCAAAGATGCCCAGACTTCCCTCTCCCTAGACACTTCCTCCAGCTCGGAACACCTCCCTAGGAAGGCACCCAGGAGGCATCCGAAACAGAAGCCTGAGCCACCTCAGCTGGCTCCTATCGATGTGGAGGAGCAGTGGTTCTACTCTGAGCTCCTCCCGGGTGACCGAGCTCCTCACCCTATTTCTAAGGGAGCGCCCCACCACCCTGCGGAGAAAGCTCATTTTGGCCACCTGTATCCCGGATCTTGCCCTTTCGGTCATGACCCAAAGCTCATGACCATAGGTGAGAGTCAGAAGGTAGATCGACCAGTAAATCGTGATCACTAATTAAATTGTTCAATTAATTAATAAAACCGTTAATGTGCAGCATTTTAATGTAACATCAACACAGCTCATACAGGTGATGAGCAGTGTGCAGGACTTGTCTTGTATTTTCTGCAGGGCCGATTACTTGATGCTACACATTTGCAAAAAACCAGCTTGTGTGTGAGAACTGTTTGCAGTAACATAACACCAGCAGACAGATTAAAGGTATAGGAACCCGGTTTGGACACTGGAGCTCACAGCCAGACTGAGGCTCCGCATCGAGCAGGAGCTGCCTCACTGGGCTGTTACAAAGCACATTCACTAATAAATAATATATGCAGTATATATAAATAATAGAAGATCTAACTCCTCAGCTGCAGTGTTCCTGTTCCTCTGCTGCATTTGGACAAACATATGACCATTTTACCGTAGATGGGTTTCTTCTGTGTGTTCTTATTTTCATTTTATTTCATTTCGTCATTTGTTTTTTCATTTTATTTTGTCCCAACTGATTCTATCATGGTTTTAATGCTAACGCCTTTCTTTGCCTCTGTAAAACTCCCTCTGTGTTCAACTTGTGCTGTATAAATAAAGCTGCCTTGCCGACCACAAAGAATCTCCCTAAAATGAGGCAGAACGCCACAGAGCGGTCTGGGATCCAGCCCAGAGCAAACAGCCACAGCGTTCTGTTACAAACCGGGTTTGAAAAGGAACAAACTGCAAGTGAAAGAGAAAACAACATCCTGCTCTTCCTCCCCCTCCTGCCCTGCTGCTCTGGTGTAGGACTGGATGCTAAGATGGTGCTGACCCAGGGTGAATTGTCCTGGTTCCTGTCTGGACTGATTCTGACTGACCTCTGACCAGCACAGTTCATGTTTCTGCCTGGGAGGAAGTGTAGACACTGAAACTAGAGCCGTGACCTGGAGTTAGCTGCAGAAAGTCCTGCTGGGCTTCATGCTCCTCCTTTCAGCACTGAATATTTAAAACTCCAGACTGGTGCTTTAAAACAATCAGCTGAAGTGTTGACAGAGAAACCTCCTGAAAGTGAACATCAGACTGTGAGACTACAAAGACACTCTCCTCACATCTCCATCTGTTCGCTGCATTTCACTTTCAGCTAAAGACAAAAAAGCTGCTGATGTTTCCCAGGTACAGCATCAACACAGCAAAACACCTGCAGAGAGGGTCCACAAAACAAACCGGAAGTAAAGCATTGCAGAAATGGCTGCAGAGCTTCACCTTTACAGCAGACTCTTCACCTGACACGCTCTCAGCTCCGGTCACTGACACTGCAGAGAGCTCAGAGTTCAACACTGTGCAACTACTATGTCACATTCACTCACAAACACATCCACTGTTTCATTCAGTGTTACAACAACTGCCATGTTTCAACACCAAATCTCCAGCACTTACTATTATGATTTTACTTTTTATTTTATTACTCTTTTGTAGTGTACAAGTTTCTAGAAAATGTTTACTGTTCACACTGAGCAGCCAGGACTCAGTCTCAGGTCCAAACCAGTCTGAGCAGTTCATGCACTCTCTCACTCTCTCACTCTCTCTCTCTCTCTCTCTATGGTGTCGGGTTGCTGTGTTTCCTCTCTTGTCCTGCAGGTGTCGCTGCAGCATCCTCCTCTCACAGTTTCCTGTCTGAACCAGAGCACATCCTGCAGGCTGTGACATCACTACATCCTGCTGACCTCATCACATCCTGCAGTGACATCACAGACCCTGAACACCCCACCCCCCGGCCGTAAGACGCTGCTGCACTGAGGCGGGAAATATTATTATTGATAAATGTGGAGAAGTCAAAGGTCAGAGGTGACTTTTTATTCTGTTGGTCATTGGAAAGATGAAAAGAAATAACGGTTAAGGTGAAGAAATATAATAATATAAAATTTGTAGAATTTCATTATAAAAATATAAACGTTTAGTTTTAATAATATTAAAATTGTAATATTCCATTTAAAAAATATAAATACATTCCATAAACTCTAAAGAAATCTAATAGTTATAGATGCCAATAATGACTAAATAATAATAAATACATACATAGTAAAATAATGTGAAGATATTTTAAGAAAAATAAAAAACATAATTCTAGCAAATAACCCAGTAAAACATTACATAAATCAAAGTAAAAGTGAATTAAAGTCCAGACCCAGGATCAGGTTACTGCAGTCCTGGAGGTCAGAGGTCAGCAGCATCTCTACTCCATTGAGAATAACAAGAGGAAACAGCTTTTTCTTTTCTGAGCTTCCTGTGTTGAGGCGGCAGGAAATGACACACAAGGGGCTTTTATTTAGTAAAATGACCTGTGTCCTCTGAAATCTGACTGAATTTGATCCAGAACATTGATCACAGAGACCAGACCATATAGACCAGGCCACAGAGACCAGACTAACAGAGACCAGACCATAAACCAGGCCACAGAGACCAGACTACAGAGACCAGACCATATAGACCAGACTACAGAGACCAGACCATATAGACCAGGCCACAGAGACCAGACTACAGAGACTAGACCATATAGAACAGTCTACAAAGACCAGACCATATAGACCAGGACACAAACACCAGATTACAGACACCAAACTACAGCAGACAGGAAACAACACAAACCAATGGAAACACACTGAGCTGCATTTTCCCATCTTAATTTTTCATGTATTTGTCGAACGAGTTCATGAACATGTCTCTACCTGTGTCGGAGGTGGTGCTGGTGCTGATGCTGGTGAAGGTTCAGGTGGTGCTGGACTAACTCTTCCTCCAGCCAGAGCTCCCAGGTCCAAGTTCAGGTCCTGGATGGACTCATAGATGTGATTTGAATTTTCCTCCTTCAGTGAATCCTCCTCCTCACTGCTCTCCTCCAGGATTATCTCCTCTTCCTCCGGCTCTATTGGGGAGTCCTGGTTGTCATGACAACCTTCAGAAGGTGAGGATATGCTGTGGGGATCGTTGAGGGGGTGGGCTACTTGAACCACAGGGACCGTGGGGCAAACAGGGACAACTGGGACTGTGGGGACTGTGGGGACCACAGGCACCACCAGCTTCCCAACTGGGATGGGTTGGGTCTGGGATTTGGGCTGGGTCTGGGGCTGGGATGTGCACAGAGTGTCTGCTGGACTGAAACTAGGAACTTGAGGTTTCCCTGAATCCTTGCTGTCCAGGACCCCCAGCAAGTGGGGCTTTTTGTTCTGGCCACCACCCGCTATGTTTGTAGTCTTGCTGGTCATTGTGGTCCCAATCTCCATGGGACCAGCTGGAGGAATGCTGGGATGTCGTGGTGCTGGCACCACCAGATGTGACAGGTCATGGAAATCCATCGGGACACCAAATGTTGACATGCGGTTCTCATTCTTACGGTGCCCGGTGGAAGCATCAGGTCTGAGTCGGATTGTTACCTCATCCACTGGTTTAGTTCTGGTCCCACTGTGCTCCTCCAGAGCCTTTGGAACAGGGACAGGAACAGGGACTGGGACTGGTGCAGCCACAGGAACCGCAACTGGTTCAGCAATGGGTGGATCAGCAAAGTCCAGGGGTGAGGGGAAGTCCGCTGGGAGCTCCTTGACATACTTGGCTGGGATGTAGAAGGGCTTAGAGCTGTTGTCGCTTCTGACCTGCCACCAGTGGTCATTGGTCTTAGCCAGCAGGACGTAGCGCTCATTGGGTTTGATGGAGACCAGCACTCCATCCCGACCCTGGTACTCGTACTCAAACTCCACCAGGACCAAACCAAGCCCTGAAAAACCCGGTCCAGATCAGAGGATTAGAGGAAATAATGAAGAACAGTTACATCAAGTACAAGAGCTAATGCTAATGCTAACTCTACTTTGCTACTGCTAATTTAACTATTACTACTATTAATGCTACTTTAAGAAGTACTACCAGTACTGCTAGTACTACTTTAAGTGCAGTAGCATTAGCAGTAGACTCCTCCACAGCTAACAGTACAACTACATTAATCATACTGTTAACATTACTTAGACTTATATTTTAATGGCTACTGCAAATATTACTTCTACTACTTCTGTTCTAATTGTTACTTTAAATGCTACTACTATCTACTGCAAGAATACTACTCTTAGTTTAACCGATACTGCTACTCTAACTGCTTCAACTACCTAAGTACTACTACTATCATTGTTCCTTCTACTCTGCCACCACTCACACCAACACTGCTGCTGGTACTGCTGTAACTATTACTAATGGGCCTGTCATTACTTCTACTGCTTCTTCATTACTTGTGGCTCTAACTGCGTGTGTTAACCCAGGCAGGACAGGGGTTTATGAAGTACCCTGTTTTTGTGTTTGTGTTTACAAACATCTCATGCTGGTTTCATAAACCTGTATAAATTCTAATCCCAGATGTGAGAAACCTGAATATGCTAGTTGTAGTACACTGAAACTAAGTGGGATACTGTTGCACATTCACAACTGGCCCAAGGTTCAGAATGCTACAGGTGTGTTTTCAGCCAAGTGATGAAACAGAAGCACAAACATGGCGGCAGTGAAAAAGTCTCATTTTGGAGTAAAAAACAAAATACATTTTGTTTGGTAATGCCTGGGTTCAGTAACCTCAGTAATTTAGGTCACAGAAAGCATCATATACAGTCAGGTCACAGAGGAAAATGCTACAGAAACATTACTACTTATACACATAAACACAGTAGAGCAGGTGGTGTTGATGTTGCTTTGAGACAAAGCAGCTTCATGTTGAACAGCCACACGGTTACAGGATAGTCACATTAACCATCTCACACATGCCAGCTTGTGTCTGTAAACACGACGAGCACCTGCACAAAATGTATGCAGAAGTCTGTATTTATCATGTATACAGGGGTATGCTGAACCAGATCTGTCTGTGATGTAGCTAAACCTAGTGTCTCCAGGACGATCAACACCAGGGCAGTTCACTGGATCTTTATTGTCCTTCAACAAGAAATTCTTTCTGCAGCATAAAAATACAAAGACATAAAAACCTGCCACAATAAAACACAAAACAGTAAGAAGACTATAAATGTCCTGGTACTGTTCATGACAGACAGTCACGTCTGCTACAAACAAGGAAAAGAAAGCAAGACAAAGTGCCGAGTTGTTAGTATCAGGCTGGATTTAAGATTTAGGAGCACCTGGTGCACATGCAGGAAACGTGAACCTGCTGCCACTAAAGGTAAACAGACAGTTCATGACTCCAGTGAGACGGACTCACTGGACTGTCAGCTGACAAACAAACAGAATATCCATCACTCCACATGTCCTGGTGGCTAGAGGTCAGGCTGCTATCACCACTGCTGACATCACTGCTGCTGTATCTGAGCACTGAACTACTAATACATGTTCGCAGTACTGAGAGGACTCACCTCTGCCGGCCAGGGAGGAGGTCATTGCCGTTGTGAGGACTCTGGGCTCCTCGGGCCCCGCCCCTCAGGTAGATGACTCTGAAGGTTGGGGGGGGGGGTCAAAGGTCACAGATGATTATCAGCTCCCCTAAAGACACAAAACACAGGTCAGATACTTCTGACAGGCTGGGTGACAGTAGTACTGTGCTACATGTGAACAAATGGTGGAAGCACCACGTTTACTTTGTTCAGGACAAATCAATCTGGTGTCCAGATGCTTCTGAAAACTGCACTGAGAACAAGCAGAAGAAATCACAGAGAATGTGCCGTTTGGGTTTGAAGCAAACTGCTGAAAAGAAAAGCGACATCTGAGAGTATGTGCACAGTAAAACTCCGCCTAAACAGCGACTGAGAAACAGGCAGGAATGAGAGTTATGTTCCTGTGGTTCCTCATGTCAGAACAAGTCAAACCACAATCAGATCTGCACATCAAGCTCCTCCTGCAGCCCCTGAGGCCAACACGAACCTGGACTCCTCACTGACTTCCTGGTCACAAACACGTCCCCACCCAGCTGGAGGCTGGGTTGTCCTACACCAGCACCTGTGAAACCCTGAACAGGGTTTACAGGTGTACCTGTCACTAAGTCCAGAAGTCGAGCAGCCACCTGTTTTATACCAACAAATGTTAGTGCTGTCAGTTTCCACAGCAATGGTTCAACAGAGTCCTGCTAACCTCACCCGCTGGTCACTGGTTTACAACTGCACTCTGAGCTCAGCGTTTCACATTAAAAGTCTTCCAGGAAAGGGAGGGGCTGTTAACCACGACCCCAGTAAGACCCCGGTCTGCAGGTTTCAGTCCAAACCACATGTCCTCCTCTTCTGCTGCTGCTTAGTGGTGGCTGGCAAACAGCTGTAGGTGCATTACCTGCATCATCTGGACTGGACTCTGGGTCTGAATCACTGGTACATTATCTAATAAGTTACAATAATACTGTGATAAATTCTCCTGGTGAGTGCCCCACACCTGCAAACACATCTGCTACATGTCCTAGTGTAGCTCACAGATGCTCTTAATCACTTTAATTACATCCTTTATCTATTTGACTATTTTTATCATCTTTTCTGTTTTACATTTATGTACAGACTTTGCCTGGTATAATAAAATTCCCTTCATTAGTGCCTCATCTCCGCTGCACTGTGGTGAAACTGTGTGCTCTATAAACACACCTGACATGACTAAGTTCAGGCCTGTCTCTCTGCTGGTCTCTGGGACCAGGTACCACCATTTCCTGTTGCTCACAGCAGCACACATGTATATCTGCAGTGAACTGCTCAAACCGGAGTGGCTGAATCTCATCCCTGACAGTTGATTTCACACACTGCTGTATTCCTGATGGCATGAAACAACCAAAGAAGACT